ATATATATATATATATATATATATATATATAATTTTTAATAAAATTATGCTGCAAAAAATATCAGACTTCTATTTCAGCTGCAGCTTTTTTCCCAAACTAACAATTCTGGTCAGCCTCTCAGCAAGAGCTCAGTCACCACAATACTTGCAGTTTGCAGTCTTTAAATAACATTAAAAGATAAATTAACTATAAAATTTTAATTAAATTTTATTAATTATTATATGAATAAAAGCTTATAAGCTATGCAATAATTGTTACACATTGGTTTTATCTGTTCTCTTTTATTTTAATTTTCTCATTAAGTCACAATGATAAGACTATTTATATAGCTGACAGAACCAAAAATTTAAACAATACTAAAGCAAAAAAAATATCATAAATTGTTTAAGAACTAATTTTGGAGTTTAGTCATCATCAAATATTATTAGCAGTTAATATGGTATTTTATATAGAATAAATCGTTTATTGTATTGCAAATATATTTTAGCAATGAAAAACTACATGATTTTATATCAATTATACATCTAATTTGGCATCAGAATCCGATTAAATTACATATAAATCAGTTACTGTATCAAAATGTAATTTGCATCTTTGTGAGAAATAAAATTATATTCAACATTTAATAATAAACCTATAAAATTAATTTATTAATTCACTATATCACATCATATCAGCACTGCTTACTTCCTTTAACTTTCAGCTGCTTCACAATTAATGCGATATTTGCTGAAACTTATCAGATGAAGAATCTTGCGAGCAACTGCGCTCTCTCAGCCAAAAAATATTCAGAAAAAAGCAAAGAAATTCAGCTTTCTGCTTTTGTTTCATTCAAAAAATAAGCACAACTGTGATTTAATTCGCTTGTATGCAACGAAAACAAACTTTACTTTTCGAGGCGTTATCACACCTAAAACTTTCATCAAATCCATCACTTTTAGTTCAATTTTTGAATTTTTTTTCTCACTTAGCACCCTTTCAATGATAAAATAGTCGAGAAAAAATTGAAAATTCAAGCAGCACACTTTTTTGTTTTTGTTTTCTGTGCTAAACAATTTTAATCATAGCTGCCATTATTTTCAAATTGCTTAAACAAATCGTTACAAATGATAAAGTTTGTGACAAAATTGATCACATAATGTATGCAAACGTGTTGACGTAAATGCTACGTATTTTTGTACATGCATACGTATCCCCGTGCATTTATGCAACAATAAATTGAGTATGAGTTCAGTTTAAGCGTTTGAATTCGAATTCTACGCATGTTATTGTACCTTTCCTTCTTCAATTCAGTTGCAGAACTATTTTTAACTTTTCCAACTGCAAATTTTTTACGTGGTAAAAAGAACAATTATGAATATTAACTGCAAAGTTGTTCCCATTTTAAGAGGTGCTCACGTGTTTTATGCATACGTCAGGTGATATTCACGGAGTACTGTTTTTTAGTCTACAAGCAAATTAAAGTAAAAAGTAAATAAGAAATTTGTAGAATTTAAAACTTTTTTATGAAATCTATCAGTTGTCATCTATTTTGCTACATTTTTTACATTTTAGATAATTAAAAAATTCAGAAAAACGTGGAAAAACGTGATGAGCCATTTATTATCACGTTTATTTACATCATAAATGTATTAATATTGCTTCAAAAAATTATAAATCTTCTTCAGACACTGCAAAATAATTTTCGATTCATTATACATACAATAATTGTATTTTAAAACGTTAAGGAAGTAATACGTTGCAGAAAGTCAAAATTTCCAAGCATTTTTTTCCGCATTACATAGCACACGTTGAAAATAATTATTAACAAATATTAAGCTGCAATAGTGTAAAAGTTCTTGAATATGACAACTTGTTTTTAATAGAAATGGAGTTGATGAAGCCTAGATGCTAGGATATGAAAATCATAAGGTCAGATGCCAATTTGATGTCACTTTGTTAGACTTTCGTCCTTTACCTTCTTTTTTTGAATTTGAGCTAATAATTCACTGTTTAGGTGGAAAAGACCTCATAAGACGGAAATTGCTTGTGGAAAGAAAAAATACGCTCTTTGGTAGATAAATGACAGAGTGAGTACATTATTATTGTTGTGTAATATAATTTGATACTCTCTCTTGATTGTTGGCTGAATGCTTTAGATTACTGTTTGAATGCTTGCATTTTTTGTATTTGTAACAAATAGACACTTTTGAGGTCAAAATTTGTCGTATAATTAGACGAAATTGTGTGATTATATTATTTAGTGGTTTATCATCAAGAAAATTAAATATGATTTAATTTGAAAGTAAAATCAATCTTAGTCTTAAAATATTTTTCTAATTTAAACAACAATTAAGACTATAAGCTAAAGTTTAGATCGAAAATATTGGATTGAACTTTTTCAGGCTCTGTAATTTGTCTTTGTGCACAAGTCTGGTTTTGGCAGTTCTTAACATTCCTTATATTATTTAGATTATATTAACATTGTTCGTTATCATTCATTTTGACGCGAATCGTTATTAGAATGTACCGGAAGAAAAATTCATGAAAAAGTATTAGAATAAATGATAGCAAGGGATGCAATGTTTTTAAAATATGTGTACTAGAAAGTAAAAGTGCAGTTGTTGAACAAAAGATAGAAGGTAAAAGAACTGAATAAAAATCATTGTAATGATTCTAGCAGGAGGAAGGATTTATGGTATATCAGGAGTTTCTAGGTGGCTATACTAGTTTAATAAAGTTATTCATAAAAATCATGCCAAATTATGAGGTAAAGATCTTATTATAAAGGCTTCATCTATTTTATGTGCATCAGTCATAGTAATATAGATGAATGCAATTTTAAGTTTTTTAAGCTAATTTTAAAATTGAAACTCACTTCTAGTTTACATGCAGAGACTTCGAATGTTTTATTTATCAATAAGTGTCGCAAAATAAGTAATTTATTATCATTATGGGTGTTTGTATCAGACTTTCGTGTAGCTTTTGTTGAGAAAAAAATGATAAAAAATTTTATTAAATAAAGTTTTTTTGACACTTGTTGAGCAGCTTGAAATCCAAGCTTAGTCTTATATATCAAATTTGTCTTTAGTGGGTATCAGTTAAAAAATGGCAGCTTAATCAAAAAATGAAAACTAAGTATAAAACTTGAAGATAAGATTAACGATGATTTGTGAGCGGTGGTGATCATATTGAGTATATCGCAGTAATATCGTACTTTGTTATTGCTAATTGTCCTAAAGCGAGACGTCTATAACGGTGACGCTTTGTTTTATGTGAAGCTATGCTCGAAAGCTTTCCACAGGTTAAAAATGATGTGGTTCAAGAGCTAGTATCTTTTAGCCTTATAATATTTGATTATAAGTGAAAAAAGTTTGCAAAGCGTCAAGTGACAGGAATCTTGCGAACAAATCTGTCGAATTGTTTTAAGTTTGCAATTCATTCGACAGAGGTGTTTGTTATCCCTGTCATTCATTTAGATGCTTGCTAATTTCCAGACCTGAAGTAGAAATTTACCTGTTTTATTTTGCATCAGGGTCTCATAATGAATCTTTGAAATGGGAGCGAATTGTAAACTTATTTCAGGTATAATGAGGCATTTCTGATGGCAAGTATTTCGGATGATGTGAATCTTGAAAAGTTATTAGAGTTGAGAACAGCGCTCCAGAAACAAATCAATCAGTTGAACGTTAGCGATGCGGTAGTGTCATCTAGTATTGTACAAGAATCAGCAGACCAGAAAGATACTTTGATTACTGAAGGATACAATAATTGCAGTGCTTGGAATGCAGAAAAACTTTTGAATCTACAGACTTCAGATAAGCAATTCAACGAATCGAAAGACAGAGATTTAGTTTCAGATTTTGCTGATAAAGAGAGTTACAGTGCCATGACGAGAAAATCAGAAGGACGTTATCTGGAAGGACAGAGTTTAGGTTGTCCGGTAGAGTTTGGCTCGAATTTGGCTTCTTGCCCTTTTCAGCATAATTCCAAACAATCAGCGGACATGGTTTGCATGAAATATGCAGTTAATAATTTCACCTCTCATTCTGAGATCGGTGAATCATCTCCGACAACAGTGATGCAGGATGGGAATATTTGCGATCTAAACGCTGTTGGTGCACCGGTATTGTTATCTTTTATCATTCTGCGTTTTTTATTTACTCCAAATCCTTTACCATGTCATTTTGTTTGTGCTATGTATTGTTTTAATAAACGGCATTAATCACATAATGTAACCAATTTGTTTAGCAGGTGCAGTTTCATTTCAACACTTGAAATAGGTTAGCCTGTATGAAAATTTTCAGCGGTTTTAAGTTTTTAAAGAATTTTAACACTGTTTTATTGCTAAATTATAGCAGACCGAACCAGGTTTTTTGATTGGTCTTTATATAGTATAAATGTAAGTAAGAAATGTGGTATGTGGAAATTATTTTGGAAAAAACTTCGAAATCTTCGAATTTCTTCATATTTTATTGGATATAGTTGAAATTATTTTCAAGGAATAAAATTATGCCTTGATTTCGCAGTACTTGTTTTTTGTACTTGAAAGTTCTTTGTCATTAAGGTAAAGGCATATAGTACATGAAATTATCTCTGAGTTCTAGAAATTATTAATTTTTTTTGAACATTTTGTGTTGGACTCCCTTTTTTATAAGGGAGTTGTTTTTTTAATTTGTTTTGATATTTCAGCCTAACAAGAAGATAAAATTAGATTCATTAGTAGTATTATCAGACGTATCGAAAAATGGATTCGTAGAGGTTTGTTGATTCAAAAAATTGAAAATTTGGTCATTTTTAAAATCAGATTTCAAGTTCGTGATGTTAAAATTTTGGACAAAGATGTTTTGGCCTTTTTTAGCAGATGTAAAGAATGAAAAAGAGTATTCGAAATTGTTATAAAATTTATAAGGTTTTGATTGCTTTCTCTCACTCATTTTGATAGAGAAATTGAAAATATAATTGGGAAAGTATATATATATATATATTATTACTTTTTTATCATCTAAAGAGTGAAAAAACTTAGACTCCTAGCTTTGTGGAAATGAGGTGCAGAAGTTCTTTTTTGCATAATAATTGGGCTGTCTGATATTAAAAACAAGACTATTGTGCTATCTTTGTCAGCATTGATGGTAAGTCACGAGTACTTAAGGATGAAGAAAGAAATAACAATGTTGCTCAAGTTCGAAATTTTTTAACTGATGCTGCTAATGACAAAAAGAATGATCCTGTTTTTTCATTGACATTGGTACCGCCCCCATCACCACCTCCTACTTCATCTTTACCTATACCATCACTTCCGTCAACATTACCTATACCGGTACCACCAATACCACCACCACCACCACCACCCGTGCTAGAAAATCGTCATAATATTCAGCCATCTTCACTTTCCAGTGAGATGGCTGTAACATGCCATGATAACTTGATCGAAGGACAAAATCAGCTTGAAGATATAAAGAAGGTGGACTCACTTCTACCTGGCAAGTATTTTATTCAATGATTTTACTTGTGTGCATGAAATCAGTCATTTTACGAAGTTAGTTTTTCATCTTAAATATTTTGCAGACAAATCTAGTAGTGGTGAAGTGCATGGTCGAAGCGAGACATACAAAGAAGAAAATGGATTTGTATCGTTAGTTATTTCATTAATGTATGAAGTTTATTATATTTTTTGCTTCAATTTGAAAGCAGTCATTCCCGTTAATATTTCCCTTCTACTAAAAAATTAGCAGTTTTTCTCTTAATTTTTCACTTTTATTTGAGAAGATTCAATATATTTTTAGAGATGAGGATGGTGATGACGATATTGACTTTTTATTAGAAAAACCAGTGGAAGATGCGCAGACAGGGAAAGTTGTATTACCTGAAGATGGTGAAATGCGAGAAAAAATTGTGTTAGCTTATCGTGGAGCTGAATATTTTGATGTCTTACCAGAAGGGTGGGTAGAAGTGACGCATAGTAGTGGTCTTCCCATATATTTGGTTAGTTTTCTCATGCCATGTTGCAAAAGCAGTTTTTCGAGGAATAACATAATGTGAATTAATTTTCAAATAAGCTGTTATTTCAAAAATAGATTTTTTGCAAATTAATATCATAATTTTACGAGTAATAAATTTCTGTTATTATTTCAAATAAATATGTTGCAAGCGTGACTTGAAAATGAACTCAAAGTCGCTTTATCTTTCATTTCCATTGCTTATAATTATTCTGAAGAAAAATTTACATGTTTTGAAACATGCAGGCTAATAAAAAATTTCACTGCAGCACAAATCGACGCGGGTTTGTACATTTTCACGTCCATATTTTATTGGTCCTGGTAGTGTAAGGCATCATAATGTACCAATCTGTGCAATTCCTTGTTTGCATCAACGACGAGTACTTAAGGAAGTAGAAGAAGATGCTGCAGCTTCTGCTGCTGCTTTGAAAAATGCACTTTCTGTGTCTGCAGATGATCGTCGTAGCGATGATGCTATTGAAGATTCATTAGTAATCGCACGACTTCAGGCACCTGGCACTAAAGTCCAAGTTAGTTTATCGGCTAATTATCTCAGAAGCGTTTTTCCAGTATTTGTCTAAACTGTTAAAAACTTAAAAATTTTGTGGCATAATGTAATATAGAAGTTTTTATTGACTATAGTAGAATTCTTTGTTTGATTAATTAATGTGTTGTTCTCATAGTACTTTCTTACTGAGTAATGTTTAATAAATCTTTAATGAGGAAATTTTAAAATTTCGCGATACATGCTTCAGTTATTTAAATAGCTTTTTCAATTACAGACAGTAAAGGATTTCAAAGAGCGTCAGCTTGATACAAAATCATTGCATGATTATGCGAAGGCTATATTTAAATTCAAAACAATCCAGGTTGATAACTTTTTTTCGTTTATACATATCTTTTGTATTTAGCTATCCTAAGAGCATTTCCAATATTCAAATATATTGCTTCTTTTCAGACGTATCGTTTTAATAGATGGGCTGCAACACGCAGTTTCCATCGTCAGCGTAAGCTTGCTGAAGCTGCAAGACTTGGAAAGAATGCTTCTTCTATTGAATTATCAGTTGACCGTCCTGGTAAGTAGCAAATATTGCGACTTGAATAAGGAATATTTTGTATACAATAAACTAATCGATGTTGTCTATAATTGTTTGATGGTAGAAATTATCTAGTTTTTCATATGTGAATCATTGCTATTAATTTGTCTGAAGTGTATTCGTGTTTTCATAAAACCGCTTGAAAGGAATGTTTTTGAGCATATTTAAGTTCATATCATATCGTTGTTTTTTTATGAATTTTGATTGTACTCAGAATTTGTTTACATCTATAACGCAACAGCTATAAGTATTATTTCTCTACCTTTCTAATATGGTTGTGAAAATTTTTTTTTGAAGTGAAAGCGAGTATTCCATTAGCCAGTAGATATAAATAAAGGTAGACATGATGTAAAAAGAAGTAAATTAAAGACTGCTGATCTAGAGACTGTTTAAATTATTGCTTTTCTAGCATTGCCATCAAATGTCAAGTTAATCACTGTTCCTGCATTGGAAGCAAATTTAAAGCCGCAACATCGTGGATTCTTTCTTAATCCTCAAGGCAAAACTTCAGTCAGTGTATTGCATGAATATGTGCAAAAGGTTTTGAAAAGCACCATCAATTACTATTTTTCCGAGACAAGGTATACTTTTATAGAATGGTTAATTGATTAAATGTGTTTGTAAATTTATGTCTCACTCATTATCCTTTTCGAAATCTCGCTGCTTTCCTTCACTTAATTTAATGAGTTTTTCTTGTTTGAGAATGGCAGATTTTATGAATTTTGGAAAAAGAACAATTATTTTAGAAATTCATCAATGCCATATGGATGCACAGCACGTTTAAAAATAAATTTGAATAATCGTGTGCTATGTGCAGCAAGTGTTAAAGAAAAATTAATGCTTTTACAAGAGAAACAAAAGCGTGAGCAGCTTTTGCAAGAACATGGAGAGCAACCAGGTAAAGTACTAATTCAAAACCAGAGGGGAGTTTTGAAATAGAAATTGTTTAATGCTGGTAATGAACATGAGTGTGATTGCTTTTGATAGTCTTAGCTGAGTTTAGCTGGATTATTATCATCCGACCATTTTCAAGTATTTGCTAGATTTTTAATTATTTCAAATTAGCTTTGCATTCGGTTACGAATGACTGTATAATATGTGCTTTTACATGTGTTTAATGACCATAATGATTCACTTCAGTTTATTGTATTATGTTGTACAAATGACTGAGTTGACTTCAAATATAACAGGTATTCTTAGTATTTTTAACAGTCAAAAAAGTTACCATAATATTAATGTATCATTTTGTATGTTGATTTTAAAATGTGCTTCTATCAGAATTAAAATTTTTTGATTTCCAATTTTAGGTACTGATTTTGTTGTTCTTGGTACCGGTTGCGGCAATAGCAAAAAAACTGCTAAACTTGATGCTGCTCGAAATGCCTTAAAAGTTCTGATACCAGATTTAGAATTTGATGCTGAAGGTATTGCACTCAGTGATAAAATGTAAGTTTATACTATTAGACTTTAAAACTCATTCTGATGTTTTTGCATTTCACTTACACCTCGACATTTGATGCACTCATACTATTCAAAATTGACTTTGCTCAAATATTTGCTAGATTTTTAATTATTTGATTACATTGAATTTTTTATTACTTTATTCCAATTTTTTGCCTTTCCAGACTGACCAAGTTTGAAAATTTTTTTTGATGGAATATCGATAATTCATGAAGTAATGATTTATAAGAGTATTGTATTTGAATAGTCTTACTTGAAATTTTCAGAAAAGATGACTCAGACAGCGAAAAGGAAGATGCAGTAGCGTTGTTTGATATGTTACCAATAGAGGATTCACGGATTTTTGATCTTTCTGCTCGAGCTGGTCAACCTTCTCCGTATTTACTACTTCAGGTTCATTTTTCAATCTAAATATAACATTTCCTGTTGCCTACAGATTTTCTTTAATCAGGAAATTATTGAAATATTTATGAAATTTGATTTTGAGCTTGCAGTAAATAATTTTTGTTTTTTCTCTTCAAATAATTTTTTTTTTATTTTGAAAGTATTGAGTTCTAAATTTATAGTTTTCATTTCTTTTTAGATGTTATTTACTTTCATTTTTTCTAAAGTAAGACTCCATATTGTTGCACACTGTAAATTCATCTCTGAAGCTTCCTTTGGACTTAAAGTTTTTGTGCACTTATCATTTAATAGTTTTAAGATCTATCTTGAATGAAGTAAATTTTCTTCAGAATAAGTTTCTTCAATTTTATAATAAGGTAATTTTATATTGTACTTTTTTTACTTTGAATTTTATAATGAATTTGCATTTTTGTTTGTGCAATAATTTGCAGGAATGCCTGAAACGAAATGCTGCATACGGGGATACTGAAGTTAAGCTTCATTCGACACGAGTGAGACATCAACGCCATCAATTTCAGATGGATGTAGGAAAACATCGTGTTTCAGTTATATGTGCAAATAAACGTGAAGGCAAACAGAAAGCATCTCAAGCAATGCTAAAAAAATTGCATCCAAATGTTTGTATTTAAAAAAGAATTTATTTCAATTATTTCAATTCAATAACCAACTACTAATTTTTTTTCTGATCATTTCAGTATAATTTGCTTGACTACATTGTTTGTGGGATGCATGTTCATAAAATTTTGTCATATAGTATTATTATTTGAGAAGTAAGCTATTAAAGATTAATTTGTCTTAACAACAAAATTCTTAGTATATAATTTTTTTTGACTATTGAGCTTCTCAGCTAGTAAAAAAAATTATGTTATTGCTTTTAACCTATAAGAATATCCAATTGTGTATTGAGAGAAGTTTTCAGAAATTTAATATTCTCGTGAAAGAAAGAAATATTCAGTAAAGGCAGTAGAAAACCAAATTCTATGAAATTATTTTTTGAGCTTAATTATTCCTTACAAAACTTAGAAATGTTTGTGGTGCGAGAAGTTGTCATTATGTCTGAGGTGAAAGTATATTTCAAGATTGAAGCCTGATTAGACCTCTCGATTCCAGCTTGATACCTGGGGCTCTCTCATTCGGCTTTATGGAAATGAAACTCAACAAAGATTGCAAGAAGCTCGAAAAAGCCGGCAAAGTATTATTCAGTTACAAAGTGGTTAGTCATCAATAAATATTAGTAATATGCAACTGTATTGGTATCAGTAATGTTCCTGTGTGTAAAGTGATGTACTTTTTGTATCGTTCAACTGTTGATAGCAGCTTCACTTTCAAACGAAAGTATGAAACTTAATTTTTTTCTTCATTTTTAGGAAATCGTGTCAAAGAAAGCTCAGCAATGGAACCAAACAACGCTATATTAGAGAAATTGCGGACAGAAATGTTAAAGTTATCAAAGTGCAAGAAATCAGAAGAAATTAATGAAGGAATTGTATGTAAGCGGCCAAAATTGTCGGTAACCAATGAACCAGTAGATGGTGGAAAGTGTGCACAGGAATCGGCTGGCTATGCCACAAAACATCCTGATGCTTTATCAGCTTTAAGAATTGATCTTTAATATAGCTCAAAGCTTGAAAATTCATGCAGCACTGATAGTGCTCCTTCTTTTATAAGTGATGTTAACGAAGTATCATTCTATACAGTAGTTTCGTTCTTCTAACAGTGAGCTTGTGGCATTTACTGTATTACAGTTTTCAAGCTACGATTTTTCCTCTTTTTTGCGTACTTGGTGGCTTTGTCACTTTAGCTTTTGATTGTATGCAGTTTCTCATACACTTTTACTACATTCCGTTTTTTCCTTACTTTCATTTTACTAAATTTGATTTTTGGCTGTCGTTAGGCAAGTTATTTTCTAAATTACCAAGCTATATCCATCAAATTATCAAAAATCAAATCCTATTCCCTAAGTTATAGAATGTGCATATCTATTATTGTTCGAATTTCAGTGCTGTCTTGATGTTCACTTTTTGCTTTTCCATCCTCTGTGTTTAAGCTTCGGCTACTAAAAAATTATCTCTTATCCCTTTTGCCTGCCATTTAAAATAGAGGTCAATTCAATCATTTTTGCTGCATTCTTTTGCAATTTTGATGCTTTGTTAACATATTTAAATAATATCTTTGGAATTGTTCGTCATAATTAGTGATTGTTTGAAGGCTATGTGTATTTCGCGACTTTTCTGTGCCAAACATTATTATGCAAAGGTTGTATATTGGTTTTGATAAAGTGCTAATTGCTACATTTATGGAAAGATCAGTAAGACTTTCGGAATGATTTAGCGTTTGGTGTGTCAAATTAGTATTAGTTCAACTATGAGTATAATTTTTGTAGCCTTGCTGGACAGTAAGCAAAATAAGAGGCAAAATAATCAAGAATGTAAGAGTTGCAATTATCAATTAAAGGTATCTGTTTCAAGGTGTTCGTTTCAATTTTTTCCAGTTCTTACCACATCACCTTGATATCCACCTTTAGCTGACTTGTATTCCTGGACAGTAATTGTCAATCACTGGACTTGGTGATAGTTGAAGTCTTTTTTTTTTCGAGATATGAGGATGCTTTGTTCATTTGAAATATATATCTTTGTTATCAGTACAAATATTTGTATATAAATGCAATTCGGTAGTAGTTGGTGAACAAGTATTGACTGACACCATTAACAAGACTTGAATTATAGGGAAACAAAGGAGTGCATTACTCGAACAGAAGATTTTTAATCTTTTTTTTCCGCAAATGCAAAATAAGAATATTCAAATTTCTTCAAGTTTATAAAAGAATTGTTTTATGAGTGGGAAGCATAGTAATATTTTTTCTACCGGTTGGCGGCACTTCATTTTTGATCTAACGAAATTCTGAGCTGATTGCACGGATTATGTTTATAACTGAAGAAGATACTGAGCCAGTTAAATGTTTGGAAGTAGCTCATCCGGCGAGAGTTGATGTTGAACTGGAAGTTGCCCTTCTTGCTACTGCTCGAGAACTTTCTCGTACACATATTCCTATACCTGACGTTCAAGTTAGTAATTTTTGCGTGTGAATAAAATTTCGATTTGATTTGTAGACATCTCTGATTTTGAGTAAATTGGAATCATAATTGTTGTATTAATAAAATTGAATACAATTTTCATCCAAAAAGTAAACGGATTTCACGCAACTGTTTCTATGTTAGTCGAAACTTGGCTTTGTGCTTGAAGATTCGTTCTTTTTTAATTATATTATTATTAGAGTGAATTAGCAAATTCATTTAATAAAGTAAGTGCTTGTAATAAAACACAGATGTGTTTCATTTATTCAAATCTAGAATATCCTTCAATTTACATATGATAGATGCGCCACTGCGCTTCAATTTTTAATACTGGAAAGGTTATATGAATTGTTGAGCAGTATAGAATAATCAAATGCAAATTTCACTTACATTTCTTGGAGTTTGCATAAGTTAAGAAGAATCTGTAACATTAAGGTGGAGAATGCTTTGGATGGTCCTGGAGATGTTGCAAAAGGAGAAAGTAAGGACTTGAAGTCAATCTGTGAAAGTAAGATTCAACATTTTGTCATGCAGTTATGTTATAGAAGATCAAATTCTGTGTTTATGAGATTTAAAACTTTAGTATGGAATAGAAGTTATATTCTGGACAAAAAAAGTTGAAATGAAATTTTATAAAAGTTAGGATGTTTTTTGGGATCATGAACTAAGTCAAATTCGAAACTACCTCAGTCTTTTGAGAGAAATGCTAATCAGTTATTGATTGATATCAGGAAAATTTTAGTACCTTATAATTTTTCATTCATATTAAGCATTTTATAGTTACTGGATTCATTTCTGTTCTCATATGTAAACACAATGAAAACTAAAATTTACAAAAGAACTAAATGTTTCTAAGGCCAAAAATTGAGCAGCATTCTTACATATTTCAAGATGAACTAATTTTATTAAATTGTAGTTATTTCTATGCTTACACTTTTGTATTTTGCAATGACAGTTTGTTGTACGAAAAAGTTAGAATCAATTTTCAGGTGATGAAGACAAAAAATGGAATGAAGAACAAATTGTCCGAAAAATGCATCATGGAAGTGATTTTCCTTGCCATTCAGTTGGCCATTCTCATGCTAGATTAACGGATTCTGTGTCAATAAGTGATGACGACTTAAAGTGGAAATCAGAGCAGTGTTATACTGTATATTGCCATAATTGTTGTGGTACAACAATTCGTGAAGTTCGATCCTTGTACATTAATGAAAAGCCTGAATACTTGCATCCAACACAACTGACTTGGCATTGTGATAAATGTGGCAATCTGAACATCGATTCTGATACAGATTTAAAAGATACCATTTGTAGCAACTGCAATTCTCGGATTTCTCATAAAAATAGCACAAGCAGTCTAAGTACTTGCGAATTACACAAAGATGATAATTATGATCCGAAACATGCTGTAGAAGGAGACCATTTACACCTTGCAAGGCAAATTGGAGATCTCAACACTGCAAAGTTACAAGAAATAGGTTATTTGGATTTTTGAAAGTGAAATTTGCTGAAATTATTTATTTACTGTTTTAACTAGACGGTATGATCAGCATTTTGTATTTTAAAAAAAATTTAGAACAAACAAAATATTTTGCTCAAAACATAACGAATGTCTTGATATAAATTATTTTTGGGCACATATTTTTCATCTATTTTCTGTAAAGTAATTGGTTTTTTATTTAAATGATATTTTGAGTTCTTTTTGTTTTTATTATAGCTAATTACTAATTTCCCTTACAAATGTAAAAGCTGATCATACTGTCTAGTTTCTTTTGATACGAATATATTAACTTTTTTTCTCCTTAAAAAAACTGATAAAGTCGTCATAGATGTATTTTTAGTGTAAACTTAACTGTAAATGTATTTCACTGGAAGTATATTTCATTATTTAATGACTTAGAAAAACGTTGTAATTGATAGAGTAAAGTTTGGGATAGAAAGAGCTATACTAACAAAGTTAGATTTATGTCTGCACATTGAATATGAAAAATATTTTATCCTAATAATTAGTGTAGTGATTGAAAATTTTTTCAAAAATAATATCTCTATCAGTTGATTACATTTTCGCATTTTGTGACTTATCAAGAGAATAGTACCAAATGAATGCATACGAAAGACTTTTACCACTTCCTGTTTCAACTTGAGGTTCAGTTACAAAATAGCCATCCACATGCGCATTTTATTTTTGCAATTGATAAATAATCATATGAAGGATTGAAATTTATTATTTAAATCAAAACTTTTTTCGTCTTGAAGTAGCATCGTTTAAATTTTGAAAATTATTCTGCTTTAAGATCAGTTAAGCGATCGAAGTCTATCAGGAAATAGTTCAGTTAGTGAACGTTCTATCGATAGTGCTGTATTACTAACGACTACTGCAGGTAAGCACTTTTTTGTCTCAATTATAAGTTTCTTATTTTCAGACTTGTTATTTTTAATACGTGAATTAGTTTTGTTTGTTTCAGAATCAGTTATTTTGCTGATGATATTTTGCTGCAAAGTTTGTCTAATGTAAAATTTGAAAATAAGAATTGATAAAAGTTATCTAATTACTAAAAATGAATAAAATTTAAAAATCTTAATTTGAATCTTTCTATTTTTTTTCAAAGAATTTTTACAAATATCAAAGTATCTTACGTTACTTCTAGAACAAGAAATAGATTTACTGTTTATAACTTGGTTTGAATTGCAGAAATCGGAGAACCAAACATTGCACATTACAAAAGCTCATGGTCTGACGTCTTCTCGGATAAAACAGATGGTATGGAAAGCATTCGGTTTGTCTCGAAAATTTTCTCTTTCAGTACTTAATAAATTTACTCATATAGACTATAATCAAGTGGCATGCGATGAAAGCCTGAATGAATTTACTGGAAAAAGTGTAAAAGATACAATTACTCAAAGTCTGAATGATCATGTCGATCCAAAAGCCTACGTAATAGCACGACCGATTAGTTACAGCGAAGGTTACTTCTTCATTTTGTACAACTTTACAGTAATGTATTGTTTTAAATGAATCATTTGCAATAATTGTCTAAAAGTTGCAAACACATTTCAGAAAACGAAATTATAATTTGCTTTAGTACTTTTATCGCAGTCATGCAACTTTCGTTTTATAACTCTTTGTACTGACTTACTAAAGTTTATTTCTTTACCACATAGCATTCAAAAAAGTACTTGATATAGATTAAATTTCAATCTGAAAGCTATCAAAAATGCAAATTCTGTGCACAGTTTCATTTTGTATATGATATCAAGAACTTCCAGAGATATGAAAAATGAAAAAAAAGATTGAAAATTTGCATAAACTATGCAATTAATGCAGTCAAGCACTGACATTCTTTGACTACTCTTGTTGGTGGTAGCTGATTTATCTTCCGAATTACAAACTGCCTAGATTTTAAGTTCAGAATCATGAAATGTTCATTTATTTTTTTGAAAATTCTTTAAAAAATATGATTATTTTTAAATTTGATTCATCTTTACTATTTAGATAACTTTTATAAGTTTCTTATTTTCAGACTTGTTATTTTTAATACGTGAATTAGTTTTGTTTGTTTCAGAATCAGTTATTTTGCTGATGATATTTTGCTGCAAAGTTTGTCTAATGTAAAATTTGAAAATAAGAATTGATAAAAGTTATCTAATTACTAAAAATGAATAAAATTTAAAAATCTATTAATTTGAATCTTTCTATTTTTTTTCAAAGAATTTTTACAAATATCAGAGTATCTTACGTTATTTTTGGAAGTAAGTGCCAGCGTACTTCAATTAATAGAATATCACATAAACTGACCTACAAATCATCCCTTGCAGTGTATGAAGTGGCTTTGAAGCCTTCTCATCTAAGCTGTTTGACTACAGACTAACAAATCTTCACCACACTGATTCATATGCCAGTTTTAATATGACAAATAAATGTCACCTAGAATTTGTTTCCATCTTCCCAAAATATTCCAATTATCTCTGATTGCAAATTACTTTCTGAATTCCATACTTATAAGGAAAGTGCGAAAGAATTATGGTAAAGAAAAATTTTATCACATCGTTTTTGACCTTTTTTGATTTTTTGATCCATTTTTTATCTATCTACTTGATTTACTGAGCATCTAATTCAGTACAAGATTGTTCTTGAAATTTGTAGTGAAATTTGTATCGTCTGTAGAACCAGGATCAATAAAGAGCTCAAATTCTTCCACGGATTCATCTTTAATTACAGGATCAGCTGGTTTGTCGTTTTTCTTGTGTTAACTAATACTCTACAAAAAAAATTTTCATGCGTGGAATAATTTATTCATAAATTATTTGAAGATTTCAATAATAATAGTTTTGTATTGTGTTAAACAATTTTTTGACTGCTCCCTTACTCGCGAATCTTAGAAACCTTATAGTTTTACTATTTTTTATGAATTGCTTTTTCTTCCTGCCTTTCATTTTATTTTAATTGTTCTTAATTAGGACTCAGTAGCAGCCAGAAATCACAAATTGTCAGTGCAGAAGCTAAGACATTGGAACGTGGCAGCACAAACACTTTATTACAGAATCTTTCAACGAGTATTATGGTTTGAGATATTTTTAAACATACGTTTATTATTTATATCTGTTACTTGTATAACTTTATTTTCATATTGCATCATTTTCCTCATGATTTTTATTACGTTACGATCTTCTGTACTGAAAGTATTCCTTCACTGATGTATATTTATAGCTACAAAAGTAAAGGTAACACATATCGTTGGGAAAAGTATTGAGAAAGAATTGTAATCATGACAAATTCGAATTTGAAAAAAGTAAATCTAAAAATGCAAACTTTTCAGTCTAAAGGTAATTTGAATATTGACAACAATGCACAGCAAAATCAAAATGAATCTTCGGACGACAGCGATATGGTATCCATGAAAGAGATGAAACCCTTTAGAGCACAATTCTTTATATCCAACGAATCTCCTTCGCCACCCAGTTCTTCTAAGGTTATCAAAACATCGCCGGATTATTATAATCCAACTAAGAAGCTTCCTTCTGCAAGTAAGTATTCTCATTATTTGACTCATTACACATAAATGTTTTCATCCTCGGATTTACTGCCTAAAGTTCCAGCTTTCACTTATTCTTTCAAAGTAAGTCTAATTATAAAAACGTTCTAGATCAAAATTTCATTTTTGCATCTCTTTTTTTTGGAAGCTATAGAGCATTAGTTATTTGCAGAGTGTGATAACTTTCAATCCTCACATTATTCATCTGAAACTGCCATAGAGAATGAATCTTTCGATCATTTTCTCACTGCACGTGAAAGTGAATTTGTCTATTACATTTTTAATTTTCTTGAAAGTCCAAAAATGTTTCTGCAACTATCAACAACTGGTTAAAAGATAGAAATAAAGTAGTGAAATTTATTATTATAAAATCAAACATGACTGATTATGTAGTACTGAGTCCATTTAAAATTCTGAAAACATCTTCATGCAATCGTTTTCAAGTATGATTAGTAAAAGCAGATAATATTTTAAGACATAGAAAAATCGAATTACGGTGTATTGGCGTGAAAAATGAGATATTTACAACTTAACTCACTCATGCATTCATTGGAAATCTCTTCATGAAACTGTACACTCCATTTCAGAATCTGGCGGAGAGGAAAAAGATATAATAAATCAGCATCTCCAAATTTCTTCATCTTCACAATGCAACTTATCACGTACATCACTGAATACAGCATCAACTAATTCAGTATCAGAGTTTTTTGTTTTAGAGACATGTAGTAAGCAAAATTTGCAACTGCAATCTAGAAACGTAATATACCATTTTATGATATACTATAGTTACAATAATTTTGCAATTCAAATATCATTCTCATTATTTGATAATATCTTATTTGAAAGAATCAGTACAGAAAATATTCAATATTTCCAAACTGTAACAGGAAATGAAAATTAAGAGCTTGTTTAGTATTTCAATTTCAACTTCCAGAATAATTCAGTGCTCGAGATTTATGTAAGGTCTTCAGACTACCTGAAATATGTAATCTTAGCTTCTTGTTTTGAAACAAAATGAAATTTCATTTTTGCTAGACTCTACACAGAGAGAGTAGAACGAAATTATTTGTAAGCAGCTTATTTTGTTTTCAATTTTTCCACTAATTCGTTTGTTTTTCTGTTTAGTAAAATTTTAGATGCAAAGCATACATTCTGCAGCACATTCAACATCAAATGGAACATCTTATACTGGTGATATTACCATGGATTCTCATCCTTTAACGAACGGTTCAGAAGCATCACTATTGGGACGAAATGAATGGAGTAGACAAGCAGCTAATATCACTTCATCACAAGCAGTAAACAGTGCTGAATCAATACCACTAGATAAAAATCTTGATACGGCACGGATCGAGAAACATGTTACTTGGAACATAAAATCGACAAGCTATTCCGATACGCATTCATCTCTCTCAGAATCCCATTCTAAAATTAAATCGAAACACTACTGGTATCGCACGACATCGTTTCCAATTCCAAGAACATCTCGATATAATCGCTTCCGATATAGTGATGCTTCTTATAAGCAGTATCGCCAATGTCTGAAAGAAGCAATTACTAGACAGATTATGAAGGAATGTTCTGAAAATGAGCATTGTACGGAAGAAAGCTTATCAAATAACAAGGGTTCAGCAGTGCATTTTGATCCTTTGCTATCTCCAAAGGAGCGAGTGAAATTGGAATCATCTGCAGAAAATGATTCACAAAATTTTCACGAACAGATTAAAAAACAAAATGGAGATACAACGTTTGAGCATAGTACGCCTCAAGTCACTACTCCACAGGACTGGGAACGATCATTTGCAACTAATCTTCCTATTAAGACTACACGCTTTAATTGCTTTAAGGCAGAATCCTCAAAAGGTTCCGCAGTACAGCAAGATGCAGAATCATCAAAACAGTGCACAAAAACAGAGATGTCAGCAAACCAAACATCCGATTTTCTTGCATGGCAAAAGTCATTTTTCAATTCTTTGCAAAAAATTTCACGTTTGGAACGTTTTCCCGAGTCACAAGAAGACAAATCTAGTGTAGTATCATCTTTTACAATTTCTCAGTCATTAGAGAATATGAATCTAGACTTGAAACAACAGAGAAATGAAGATTTGGCCTTAGAATCACAAGTAACAGTGGATGGGGCAATCAAGAAACAGACAATTTTGCAACCATCGACAAAACTTTCACATCATTTGCCATCTTCAGTTCTGGATAGTACCCCTTTGTCCTTTCCCGCTCAAACAAAAAGCTCTCGTTTTGAACGGTTTCGCGACAAAACTTCAAATATCGAACACTCAGTACCGTCGATTCTATCAGATTCTTGTAATGCTAGTGCAAGGATAGATGAAGAATTTTATTGGAAAGTAGAGAAAGCAATACCACAACCTAAAGTTTCTCGCAAGATTCGATTTTTGACTACTGATGCTTTTCAAAAACCACTAACTGCACAAAATATTGTAAGTATAATTCAATTCTAAGTCTTATAACTACATTCTTGCTTTGGTCAAAATAATGTTCAAAAGTTAGTCAAAAACAATAAAATTAATTTACTAAATTTTTCAGTAATAATTTTTCAGTAATTATTACATGAAAACATGAATTACATCGCTTTCAGAGCAGTTTGTCAACAGATCTAAGTAAGATTGATACGCAATCGTTATTTGCGCTATCCACTCATGACAAAGAATCAGGATCAACTGCCGTCCTTCCAGCGATTGATTTTCAATCTTCAGACCATTACACAGTAAATCAAGAATCACATGCAGTACAACAGCATGGAAAGGATTCAGGCTCTGAGTACGTACAAGTCGATCATCCTTCCATGGATCAGGCCTTGGATATATCAATACAATTTGAGAAGCAGAATTTTTTTTAAAGTAGTTATATCATGTCCGAAAATTTGATCACGATGCACACTTCATAAATTTGCCACATATGAATAGCTCATGTTCATATCAATTTTGAATTGTCAAATTTGCTGTAACTTCTATTCTTTTAATATATAAAATGATTCCCTACTCGTCATAGAGTAAAAATTGGTGCTTCATGTAATCTTGGTAGAGAGCGTGAAGCCATGATATCGTAAACTACAATGACACAATCTCTGGATTCTTTGAGTATTACTGCCTATATTTTTATAAAATACCAGATTTAGATTGTTCACTAAAGAATCTTAAAAATATCAGAAAGTCGTAGCACTTTTGCTAATTTAAGACCATGATGAAACTTGAAAGATATAAGACCTTACTGCAAACTGAAACGAAATCCGCAAAAGATCCTGAACTGCTTCGAATGACCTGGACGTACATGAAGCGTACAACACAAGACATAATAGAAGTCCAGACTGCCTCGACTTAAAAAAAAAGACTACAGGGAATCCTGTGCTCAATGCATTCCATTGCATTAATGTAGTGTTAACTAGGCAAGAGTCAATTCTATGAGTAATATAATATTGTTGTACTGGGAAACGCAACGGCAACGGTGAATTGAAATTTACTTGCTTCCATTATTTAGTTTCACAGCTTCACTCAATTCACACCACAAAAGAATATTTTAAGAATGAAAATTTACGAACATTGAAAAAGTTAGTACATTTGAGCATACAACACTAAAACAGCTACAACGCATCGAGAAAAATGACAGAAATATTAAAGACAAAATAAACTTAAACAAAATTAAATACAATACAGGATGAAATTATAAATACAGGCTGAAATTATTTTTAACAACACTAAATACAATACAGGCTGAAATTATAAAAATGTACAAATGATAATATAACGAATTTATCAGAATTACGGAGCAAAAATGGAACATACAGAAAGTGATACAAAGTAATTTTTATAAAAAACAGCTACAACGCATCAAGGAAAATGACAGAAATATTAAAGACTAGAAATAAATTTAAACAAAATTCGAAGTGAAAAGTGATACTTGTCACTTTCTATTAATTTTTCTTCCTTGCTAGCATCACTTTTTTACTATTCTTTGATTTGTATAGTTTTTCTTACTTCATTCCATCACCACTTGTTTTTTTCATTGCTTTTGTTTAAAAATCATTCACTGAAACAGGCACTTCCAATTGTAGATGCAAACGATCCATTGCATATACCACAAAAAAATTGTCCTACTGCATCACGTAGGACACTAGCTGGAATTTCACTCCTTTGCACGGCTGCTCTTCCAAATTCACTTCGCGACACCCAACATAATGGAATATCCATCGTGACAAGCATTTGTACCCCAGTGAAGTTTGGGGATCTCTGACATCAGTCTGAATATTCTATAGAAGAGTTGCTATTACGCACAAGTTATAAACTGATGGAACACTTTACATTGATTATCAAAAATATACCGATGTTAGCAAAGTCATCGTCAATGAATTAATAGTTAGAAGAGCTGCTGTCTCCAAATTCAATCGATAACCTTGCCCAGTTGAGGAATCTGAGATCTGAACATCTTTTGACGTCCTTAGCTGCCTCACGTTCAGAGTATTGTCCTGATAATTGTATTTCCACTTATTTTAATATATTCTATGAATTTTCCGATGTTAAAAAAATTCTTTTTCAGAAAAAGCATAGTAATATACAATATTTTTTCCGGACAGCCTGGACTTTGTAGTGGCAACGCCAATTGTAACTTACCAACTAATTCTTGAAAGTGGGAAGAGATTATCCTGATTCCTCAACCATGTTTGCATCATTTCTTGATCGTTCGACCAGCACAGGAACTGGCTCTTGCTTTGTAGCTTTCTCCCCAAGAGCC